ATTCCATTCACTGGCCACTTCTCCAAGAGAGACCAAACCTTCTAAAACAATGAACTAGGCTTCTTTAGAAGCATGTATTCACTTAGAGCAGTCAACTGAATTTTATTCTTTCTGTGCACATCTGTTGTGTTACAGTCTCTGAGAACCTTCATTTTCATATGGGGAATGAACACTAGGATATGGTGATCCATTGGAGGCTACCAGTCAGAGCACTCGGCAATCCCCTGACAAACATCTGGTCTGTCTTCTGGGAATGTGAGTCTGAGTCTATTTGTATTTATTCATCCTGGCATCAGAGCCTTGAAAAGATTCTCTGTTAGTTCAGCAACCTTGATCTCTGGAACCACATTGTACTGGATCTCTCAGCTTGGTTCACCAATATATTCTTCTGTACTTTGAACCATCACATATCTTTAAAGAAAAAATCTTTCCTTGCAGAAACGACTGTTTCAAGCTAAGAAGTGCAACTGATACAACGCACTACTAGTCTGACGTGGAGTTCTACAGGAAGTTAGACAACACTACGTGCAATTTTCCCTATAACACACACATAAGCAATTAAGATTTTCCTCAGTGTGACATGAACACCTTTCAAAAGCTAAATTAAATATTCTAATAAATTTGCTCTATTTATAAGATATACAGAATCAAAAACAATGCTTTTGATGAATATGAAATCACACAATTAAGTTCATCAAATGAGAAAACTGTTGTTACCATTTCTTCACATGCAAAGACTTGTATGCAGAGGAAACATTAGCTCTGAGTAGTAGAATGGGCTTTTCAACACTCGCTCTTTGATATTCTCACTTTACTGAGAAGCACTCGAAGTTCAGGGTAAGCACACAATAATGGGGTCAGTCCAGATCTTTACTGAGAACACATCCAGGTTGTCAGAGATGAAATGAATTCTGGACTGTTCACATGAAACCCAACGGACCGCAGAAATTTTATACACTTAATTTTAGAGATTCAGAACTCTCATAAAATAAGTTGACAGAATCCCACTTACCAACTTCAAAGTACCCCTAGGGGATTCCATCCTAGAGCCACTTGAAATCTATAATATTTTAAAGTCGAGGACTTTCCTAGCTAAATTCAGGGGCATGAAAAAGAACATTATGTCCATCCTGTCATTGATGTTTGGTGATCTAAAATAAAGCTCAGGATAAAGAGAAATATATTTTCACGATTCTATTGAAATCATTTTATTTTTTCACCAAACATTATCTGTTTTCCATTATCTATCATCTGAGCATTTTCTTATCAGTGTCTCACTGGGACACAGCATGGACACACTCAGTTGGTGAACATTTTGTTGCTCTAAACGTATGCACATGAACAACGTTAAACATGACAAGACATGAAAGGGGATCCTATCGATAACCCTGAACACTGCATTTTACCTGCAGTTCCATTTCAAATAAAGAAATGAGTGCCTAGTTTATTTCTAGCTATGGCACTACTATGCTATAAACTATAAATATATTTAACTTTCTCGAGCTCTTTTACACGTTAAATTTTTAATTGACAACTTGATAGTAAATTTATTTTTTGCAGAAATTTGTTTTTGAAAAGTATAACTTCATTTAATTATGGATCTTGCCTTCCTATTAGTTTAAAGAAATACCCCAGCTATTTTAATCAAACCATGCATCCTACTAAAAGCTAGTTAGTAGACGATTGACAGTAACAGGAATTAAATGAAATAAAATGTTTCGTTAATTTACTAAAGCTTTCTGTTTATAATATCTTATATTATTCACCTTTAAAATTTCTCTCTCTGTCCATAATACACATATGCACACACTTATTACATACATGAATACACAAATACCTATACATAAATGTCTGAGACCTACTCAATTAACTTTGTACTGATACTGTTCTAAGATGGAAAGACTTCAGAATATATGTTTCCTGTTGGTATGACGCTAGGAATGGGGAGCATATCATATTTCATATGTATTTGTTTCAGAAAATGCCTTATATATTATGTTTGAGATAATATTAATTATAATGTTAAACTTAAGTGCTATCATTAAGGACAAAAAAAATCTTCTGAACTAAGAAGTATAATTTATCATAAAGTAAATATTGCCACAAAAATAATTTTGCCTTTGTTTGGTTTTTAATTGTCTATGAAATCTCTGTTCCACTATACTATGCTAAATATAAACTAGATACTAGATAAAGTCATTAAGGTTTTTCTTTTGAACTGCCTTTTTCTCCTGCTTTTATTTGAAACTTTATTTTGTTCTTAACTTTTGTTTTTGTTATTTTTCATTCTCTGTGTGTGTGTCTCTCTCTCTCTCTCTTCTTTCCCTCTCTTACTCCTTTCTTTCCCAACCTCTTTCTTTCTCATACCATTTATTAAGGTTTTACTGTATGCCAGGTACTGGGCTGAATGAAATTTGTTTTGTTTTGTTTTGTTTTTATTCCCCACAACAACCAGAGGATGTAGGTATTTATCATTAACCCAGTTCTCAACTTTACACTGGAGGACACTGAGCGTTTGACATGTGATGGAAGCCGCACCACTCAATGCAGACTGTCGGCAGTGGAGCCTCAAACCAAACTCCAGTCTAGTCTGGGTCAAGTCACTTAAGTAGAAACTCTAACTCTTATTTTTAAGAGAAACTTGATTTATTTTTCTATTTCTAATCCATGTGAGTTGATTTTCTAGAAGTCACTTTTCACCTTGAAAGCCTGGATTGGTCTGATGTCTTGCAATGATTTTACTCATAAACTTGTGAAAACTTGTGAACGTATGATTCCTATTGCACAATCTATTTTTATACCTTGAAACATCTATTTTCCTTTTTTCACATTTATTTATTAATATCTCCCTATTTTAAAGCCTTAGGAGAATGAGAATATGTAAAACCATTTTATAATTAGTATAAATCCAGTTTTGATAAACATGTTCCATAATAAGCTAAGACTAAATAATTATTCTGAGCTGCACCAGATCAAGTCTCTTTCAAACCTTTTTACTCATGGTTTATCTATAAGAAGACTGACCATCGGCAAGTCACTTTAATTGGCTCATAATCCTTCTATTATCATAAAATTCTTGCGATGGTTCTCAGTGGAGCAGTACCACCACTGAGCTGGGAAGCTGGGACTTTTGTAGAGATGTTTCAGTTGTAACAGAGATTGGAGCATACTTAAATCTTTTAGTAATAATCCCAAGCCAAGGAAGTTAAATGCCTTTCACAGCAAAGGACTGCTTCATGTCTTGAATCATCTTAAAATGTTCCACTCAGTGTAGGGCCTCATGTGCACAAACATCATGGTTGATCATACTTCGTGTGTAATTCTGTAGTCCAGTAGTCTCTTGCCATATAATGATGTGTCTGGTTGGTTATTTCCTATTCCAGTGGTCAGCTATTCCTCTGCACTTAAATTCCCTGTACTTCTTGTGCAGAATGACTTCTAATTCTGGCTGTCATGAATCTAAACTTTTATTACTAGTAGAAGCCAATCATTTTCCTATCAATACATATTTTATTAAACGTTACTTTTCTTACTTCTTTAAATTACAGTTGGGCAATTAGAATGACTTTATAAAACTATGTATATAGGCAGACTGTATTACCTCTGAGTTTTATTTCAGAATTGAAAAAGAAGTATTAAAATGCTTACTATAAAAGGGATGGATGTTGGGCCTAAATGGAATGAAAACCACCTGTCTAAAGCAATTCATGAGACTGTTTTCAAATCTTTCCCCACACTGATGAACTTGAGGCCAACTCATTTATTATACCCATGTGGAAGCAGCCAATGAGAATCAAGTGGCTACCTCTTCTTATTTCTCAGAAGACATTGTTAACATAGTATAATCTTTCATTCGTGATGATATTGGGTTTTAAAAATAGCTAAAATGCAGATATATTGTTTTATTAAATGTCATGCATGCATTAAATTACACAGATGAACTTAAATATTAGCCCAGTGAAGTCAAAAAGGCAACGACAGCAACGTAAATGGATTCAGAGGGCCAGTGGGAACTATGATGAGTTTAACTGAAGGAGTCTCGTCTCGAAATGGCTTGTGCTACCCAGCTCTGTTGATTGTTGCCATGTAGGAAAGTATGCTAAGAGTAATCAAGTCCACATATTTTTAAAAGAGAAGTTAAAAGTCTTGACCTTATTTTAAAACAAACAAGCAAACAAAAAACCAAAACAACAACAAAAAACACCTCTTGGACCAAATATAACATATCTAGGGCACAAAGTGCATAAATACTACTACCATTTCTGGCATAGACCTGTATTCAAAGCTATATTTTAAAGGAAAAAAAATGCTTTATGTAATAAGACCTACAATAATTTATTTGAATAGCAAGAAATGCTTTGCTTTATTTCTCTTGCTGTTCCTATTCGGACATATTTATTCATAATGTGTTAAATTGTTTTGCTTCTAGAAATAATGTGATATATGTTTAGAGTAATCTTTTGAATTGAAATATGTGAGTGATATTTTTCTGTAGCCTGTAGCACTAATATTTAGGGATTAAGTTGTGATATAGACAAACAGATAAAATATAAAGTAAAAATATTGACATTTTTATTGCAATTAAAGAATACAAACTTGGTTGTTTTCCCAGTTAAAACCAGCAGGTGGTTATGTAATGAAGGAGCCCAGAAAATGTTACAATTTTTTTTGCCAAAATGAAATTCATTTAATAGATTTCTTACAATAGTACTAACTTCTCAACCCAAGAAAAAAGAGAAAAAGATGCATCAAGGCAAAGAAAAGTTTTGAAAGCTCGGAATAAATTCCAACTTACTGATTGGTTTTCTGTGAGATACATTTCTTTAAAAAAAATATTAATTTATGTTGTCTTCAACTAATCGTTTAGGACTTGAATGAAATTCTCCACTTCACCCAATGATATTGCTTCCCTAAACATATCTAAAAATGTAGAGCTTACTGAAATCTATGGATTTGAGGAATGTTCTGCAAATACATTTCAGCTTGCATATAAATCTATATTTTCACATCTAAGTAGTCACCAAACTCATAAGCTGGATGTATTCTGCAATTTTGGTTTGCTATCACTGCTGGTGTAATATGGCATTTGATTTGTTGGAGAAGAGTGTTATCGTACGGTGGAACCCTCTGTCTCAAAAGGAATTGAATAGATAAAGCTAAAGAATCTCTTAAGCTTGGTCTACACTTTGTAAAATAATTTTCTACAAAAATGTAATACTCACCCATGAATACCAGTGACAAGGAAGATCAAATTCCCATTGATTTTGGTGCAGTTTATGAACTTGTCAATGTTACTAGAATCCACGGTCTGAGCTGACATCAGTGAGCCTGTGCCAATGCCATCACAAGCTGCAGAAACAAGACTTTCAGTCAGGAAGTGAAGAACAATTTTCTTCAGTCACTTGCATTTTTACTATAAAAATGACAGTATTTTTTTCATTATAAAATGAAAAAAAATCACCTTTTGGGCAAATATCAGTGCAAGGTTTACACATTTTAATCCCATTTTCTTCTACTTCCATCTTGGAACTAGGGCAGGCACGCACACAGGAGCTGGAATCCACCACAAAGTTATCTGATGGAAGAAGATAAAATCAGCAATGGTGCTGAAATTCAGCCAAAGAATTTAAAACAAGGTATTTCGGGGTTTGAAAATGACTCCCACCCTTGAGAGGATGTATGTTTCTTTCCGTAAAACAACTCTCTGTCTAACTATCTCAACCTGAAATAGCACCTATGAACATCCACATTCAAATCCAAGGGCAGTGTGTGTTAACAACAACTAGTCCTTGCTTGGCTACTGCTCCACATCCTGAACTGCCCCCAAGATAGTGAATTTCTTTTATAGACCTAGGAAACTGCATGACATTTAGTTTGTGTTTTTCAATAGTTCCACTTCATTTCATGTCCTGATGTAAGTTTGAAGCCTAAAACTACTTCAAGTTACATGAAGCACAAAGGAAGCTGAAGTTAAACTGCCTTGCATCAAGAGAGCACACTTCATATCCAGGAGGAAATGCTGAAAATGTGTTCATCTCTCAGTGGTGTGCCCTAGAAACTATCTCATCATTTTAAGCCAAGAAACACAATGAAATTTGAAAGGGCAGTACTTTAGAAAAGGTATATTAAATGAACCAGGAACATCTAATTACATGACATATTGATAATCCAGTGGTCTGGAATATGCCAGGACATTCCCTCCCCGCAAAAAGGACAAATTACGGCATCTAGAGCCTCCCACTATCTGCCAGGCCGCTTAGTGTTTTGAAGGCAGTATCCTTCCATGCCTGGAAATACTGCTTCTGACCCACTATTCAGCCTTGAACGGGGCCCAGAGCAGGAAAGGCATATGGTGCAGGTCCAGGCTGGGGTGCAAGCAATTCTGCTACTTGGGTCACAAAACCCAAGAGGCTGTATGATATTAGATGTATCTATGGTGGGAAAATATGCCACGTGGAGTTATGGCAAGCCCGAACTGGAAAATCACATCAGAGACCTCTAGGATTCTAGAGCTACCCCCCGGCCATCCAAATCATAGAATTATACACCATTTAACAAACAGCTCCCAACAGGCTTCGGAGTCCTGGTAGAGATAGAAGACCTACCCACAGGTCATTGACTGAACTTGTAGCCAGAATTTCCTATCACAAACAAAGTTTTGTTAAAAACCATGATGTCATAACGTTGGGTAGGTCCAATAGCAATCCATTTTTAAGATGGAAGCAGTACATTTGGGATTGACATGAGCAGGGGCAAACGCACAAGTAAACTGCATATGCATGTGGTCCCGATCCCCATGTCATCCACCACTTTGCTGGCATCTCTCCGTCGGCCAGCTTATACCTACGCTTGCACGAGGCCCAAGAGAGGGCACTTATGACAAGCTGACAGAGAAGAACAAAAACTAAGCTTGGCATGTGGGTACAAGCAGCTGAAAAGTGGATAACAGCTGTCTTGAAGCCTCATTGAGGAGTTGACTTGAAAGACAGTGCCAAGGAAAAACCCTACCAGTGGGCATAGTTTTGGGTAGCACAAATGATCCTTTACTTTGTGTGGAATAAATATGAGTTTAGAATCAGTATGAACTCCTGAGAAGTGGCTTGCCCTGGGAGGAGATATACTAGAACATCTAAATTGGAATTGAAGGGAGTCCAGGGTGGAGGGATATGTATGAATCCATGGGAGTGGGTCCAAAGTGTATAGATCTTTGTATTCAGAGTTAACATCCACTCGAGGACATCTGCTACAAAAGAGACACTTTGTTGAGCCTGCATCACAGCCTGATCTCGCTTCCTTCCTTCCCCCAGGAGTCTTGATTCTGAGAGCATTTCTTAACAATAGTCTCTCTCACAAGAACCCAGCTTATAACAGGTGTAACCATCCTTTCTGCAAAGTCTTTAGGAATATCCCATATCAAAAGGCTTCTACATTTCTGCAGCAATTTATGCCAAGTGAAATAAATAAAAATTATAAAGATCTTCATAACAGTTAGGTTCAGATTTTGCGTTCAAATGAGTTTCAAAAGAAAAAACAATTGCTGTTTAGAGTTTTTGAATTTCAGAATTCTGAATTAGGAATTGTAGACCAGTATTTAGAAGTTAAACATCTTTGTTTTTCCAAGATACCTACAGTTGAGCAAATCATGCCTTCTGAGCAAGACTCATCAAAGATTTACATTGATAAATTACACTGATAAATACTTAGGTGTTTTAAAGTAGTCTGCAATTCGATAGACCTAAACTAATTCAAAAAAAGAAGTTTATGAGTTACCATACCTGTGGTCACTATGCACATAATTAAAAAAAAAAAAGCTCTCAATGTTTAACCTCTTGCCACACTTAGGAGTTGAGAGCCTTCAGCTAAATTACTCTAAAGAATATAGTAACTAAAGAGAATTTTGCCAACTCAGATTTTCCTGGTACTCCTTCTACTCCAGCTCAACCCCTGGTCTCAACCTTAGGACTTGAATAAAGCACCAAAATAAATGGATAGAGCTTCAGTAAAGTACCAAAAATCTCAAAAACAAAACAAAACAAAACAAAACCCCCCAAAAAGCATGGTTTTGACTGTCTTTGAGGCAAGGAACCATAATTTGAAGGTAGAAGAGTAGAAGAGAAGGTAGAAGAGGAAAAATTTCATCATCCAGCCCCATCCTGCAATGCTGTCAAGCCCCCAATTTTGCAAGGACAGTAGCTAGTGAGATACAGAGTAACTTTAGATGAGAAGTTATTAGATCAAAAACATGCATTTGGATATTAAGGTTTTTAGGGCGGAAAATTCTCTACTATCCTAGAGTTAGCGTGTCTGTGACTTTAGAATAGTAATTCAGTGACATGTTAAATATATGCATAATAATTCTTTTAACCAATATAAAATATTTAGTAATAATGGCCAGAATCATCATTGTTTTCAAAGACTTGTTTTTATATACTATTCCTCTGAAACTTATTCTCTATTCATTTGATTTTTATAATGATTCTGGGAAAGAGAGAGGAGCCATATGATTATTACCATCCATAATTAAAGAGGAGAAAATAGGAAACTAAATAGTTCACTTAAAACCACATGGCAAGGAAGTGGGCGAAGCCATAACCAAAGCTACTCTAATCTCATGTCCTTTACACTTCCTACTCCATCACAAGCACAAAGTGAACGAAGCCAATAACATCTATGTGCGGTAGACTGTAAAGCCTTCTTTTAATTGAGTATGTGGACAAATGTAGCAATGTTTTTCTGCCTTCCAATAAGTAAACATTGAAGAAATGTTTCATTGGTCTCTTCAAACAAAGAAACTGACTTGAGCAAATACCAAGACATATAGTATTCTTGATGAAAGTTAAGCTGATCACTTTGAATGCCTAGAATGAGTTATAAATTTAGACCCCTCAACATGCCCTTTATATCTATTATTATTGTGTAAGACTGGATTGGATGTTAAAACTATAATGCTATATATTCTACCACAAAGAAGTGTCAGTTATCATTTCAGGTGAAAATTCATTGTTATCAGAAGCAGACCTCACTCATTACATAGCTTGCTGCCACTTAACTAACCACTTTTCTGAAGAATGGCATCACGTGCAAAAACATACGGTGGAAATAATGAGTTGAGAAATCAGTGGATGACTTTGTACTGTAACCTCAAGCATGCCACTCCTTTGCTGAGACTTTGAACCCATCAAGTCAGTTTTTTTTAAATTTTAATTTCCTGATTTGTGAAATGATGGCAATAGTACCCATACCCAAGTAACTCATGATACTGTCACAAGTTTCAAATTGCAATAAATTTACATGAAATCCCTTCGCTTTTAAATGATGGGCTAATGAATGTGGCTATTCTTATCCTGTTACTTACGTGGGCACTTCTTGACACAAAATGCTCCATAGGTATATTTTGCATTGAAATTATGCTCCAGTTGAAAGGTGGTTGGATTGTAGACAAACGTTTGCGGACACTGAGTAACACAGGCTCCACTGTCATTGAAGTTCATGCAAGCCTGCAACACAGCAGATATTAATTCCATTTTACAAATGATCTTTATAACACTTGTTAAAGGGACAGCTCTACAGCAGTTTTGTGAGGGCTGTGTTCTTTGTTTAGCATACATCAATTTCATAAAAACTGGAACCTGATAATTCTCTGGTTGCTAAGGCTTATTTTTTAAGTTCATATTTGTTTTGTACTTCTCAATTTTACAAACCTGTTTTTCCAATGTTGGTAAATATACCATCTATAGTTACTGATGTTCAGATTGCTTGGTATCTATCGACTAATTCCTAAGCTGACAATTGGTTAAAATTATTAAAGTTAGATAATAGTGGAAATTTATTTAAGCTCAGACTTATTCAAAAGGGTTTATGTTGAGTCTGGCACTGACAACTACATCCCCAATTGTACAGGCTAGCTTTTCCCTAAAGCTGGTGTTTGGAGAGTCCTGTGCCTTTAGTGACATGGTAAGTACACTGACCATCATTGCATAGTGAGAAAGTGTTGTGTTGGCCATTCAAACTGGACTTAAAGAAAAGGTTCTGGACAGTGATAAGCCAAGAGTACATGCAGAGAGTACAGTGCAAATTCTAAAGAAGTTACTCTCCTTAGCCCATAATTAACTAATACGATACCACTTCCTGTATGGTCTTTTTCATAATATCAAAACATTTGGTAAAAGTCACCAAATTCAAGTAAATTCGTGACTGCTGACTTACATATTTGTATTAAGACATCAATTTGTTAATAGGTTCAAATGCATTTGAGAAGAATTAAAAACAACTTTATCACCTGAGAGCTAGGTACTTGATATAAAAAATAGAACACATGTATACGTACATAAAATCATGTGAAGAGGGGATGAACTAATTCTCTTAACTAAAAAATTTAAACCTTCATAGGAATAATTTAGGCTTTGGAAGGCAAGCTAATGTGAACTCAAGCTGTACTTAACATATCATCATAAACTGTATGTTTGGTTATTAATAAGTACTAATTTATTCTGTTTCCTCAAAACATCGTCTTAATCAATTGTTGTTTTAGCAAGTACTTTATCACAAACATGACAATTCCCTGATGATGGTCTATGAGATGCATAATCGGAACGAGACTCACTGATGATACATTATTCACTAAGATGACACTTTCCAGGAAGAATCTATTAAAAACCAATCTAGAAAACTCAGTAAGTTTTAATTTATGGCTGTAAAACTTCATACGTACTCATAATTGCTTTACTAACATATTTTATCCAGTGTTGTGCAACAACATTGCTTGGCAACAAAGGGACATGCGCCAGAGAAATCAAACAAGTTACCTTTCAGACAGCACATAAAACAACATATCTTATACCAAGGCCTTGGTCTGGCATTCTCGAACATTCTGTACAAAATGCCAAAGCAGAATCAATGGACTGTTCCATAAAAGTAATGAAATGAGAATTCTGAAGTTCACTCAGCACTTTGTTTATCATGATAACAGAATCATAAAAACAATGCAGTGAAAAACTTCTATAAGAAAGTCATGGCCATTGTTGGTGTTTATTGTTGGTACTAGTTTGGGATTGTTAACAACCTGTTCAGCATCCTCCAAACCAAGCTTCCATCCCATGTCTGGTGAGAAGCAAGGGGAATGGTCTCTGTTCAAAACCTGCTGAGCATCTTCCTTATATTTTTAACATTTTTCTTTTATTTCCTCCTTCCTCCCTACTCACTTGTGCAATACATACTTTTATTTCATTAGAGAAGTAGGATAGACAAATTCAGTATTTTGTGACATTAAGAAAAGTGAGAAATTATTATGTTTCTATATCATAACAGCTATTATGTATATTTTGCTTATTTCCAGAATTAAGTACCAATTAAAAAAAATACTCAGTTCTAAATATATATATGTGTATTCTCTGAGTATTTGAGAATGGGAAAAAAAAGAAAATAAATTCCTGTATTCATTTTTAACAACAAAAATAGTTTCTTATTCTATGATTTCTAGCTTAAAAGGAAACTAATGTTCTGTGTGTAGCAAATTGCATCAACTATAGCTCACAGAATTGCTTGTATGTATTCAAAAGAACAGAAAGAACTTTATCAGGGATGTCAAAGTGTAATTAAAAAGTGTCCCTGACAAGCTATAAATGTTAATTTTGGGGAAGTAAAAATGTCCTCTTCCAAAATAAAAATCACACAAATTAGCATATAAATTGCTATAAGTGTGCGTTTATAAATCTTATAAATTTTGAATAATATTAGCTTGTAAACAATATAAACCATAAAATAGTTAAGTTCATAGAGTTATCTGCTTTAATCTTGAAATTTATATCAAGAAATAAAATGCAGATGCCCCTACTCAGAAGACTCAATGATGCAATAACATAAACAGGTAATCACCATAAATTTTGGAAAGATGCTGTTAGCTTTTTAAAAGATATCCCAGTATGTTCTCCATCACGTTCACCAATAAATCTCACTTGTAGTATACATTAGAGCAGAAAGAAATAATTCATTTATTAGAACAGAACAATCCTAGTTCATCAATAGCCACGCAGTTAGGGAATGACTTCTACAAAGGCAGAGCATTTTTCTTAACCCTAATGTGGTAAAATTTGATCTTATCTTAATAGGCTGTCAGAGATTCAATGTCCCTGAGCCAAACTGGGGAGGGGGGGCAGGTGAGCGAAGGGAAGAGCTCCCAGACTCACGAAGCAGTCGGTGTCCTTAGGTCCTGAGCAGCCTCCAGCACATTCTCGATGACAGCAGTCACTGACGTAGGGCCCATAGCATCTGCCATCACACTGTTCTGCACATACTGTCCTTGTCACTGCAGAAGACAGAGGTAGGGCCTTGGTCACAGTCAGCCACCAAGAAAAACCTCTAGGCTGATTTGGAGTTACTGAGAGAAGCCAAATCCTTGGAGTAACAATTTACTCAACTCACCATTGACTCAGTTCAGCAAACATTTACTGAATGAAGTGTGCAGTTGATCAAAATTACTGTACAAAACTCTTCAAAATTAATACATGAATCTGTTTTCAGTTCTTTCTTGTTCCAGCAAATACTCATATTGCTTTACAAAAATCACACAACTTGCAAGAAAGAATCAAATTTAGAATAACCGAATGAGGCATTTTGGCAGGTTGCGAAAGATGGAGTTAGCAGTGAAGTCAATTTCCCATGTGTACAGTGAGGTTCTAAGGCAGAAACTGTCCCCAGAAATGAATCTAAGATTTTTAGTAGTCAATGCAAAAAGGGACCATAAACTTTTACATGATTCACATTATATCTTATATTATTTTTATCAGATAGACAAATGATAGATGATAGATAGATAGATAGCAGATAAATAGGTTGATAGATAAAGATAGACAACTGATCTGTAGTCGCACAACTGTTTCTATTCCTGAGATATAAGTGAACTTTCTACCAAGATTCCTCAAAAAGAGGGACCTGTGTAAGGAACAGAAAAACATCTGGGAAGGAAGGAAGGAAGGGAGAAAGGAAGGAAGAGGAGAGATGCATTCATAGTGAACACAACAAAAAATTCCATTAGTCTTTTAATATCCTTCAATCCAAGCTGATAGCCTCTTATGAAGGTATGCTTTAGTAAAATCAATGCTATAGGCTGGACATCAAAACTGTAGTATTGAAGGACACATTTCTGCTTATTTCACTTATTCTAAAGAGGCATTTTAACAGTATTTAGAGAAATGAATTTAACAGCATATGTGTAGTACATCACTTCTTGGCTTCTGTATTTCCACTTCGGCCTGTTTCTTCCCACCTCTTTGAGAGCATCAAACTTTCCTTCACTGCCACTATAGCAAGCCACAACTCCTTAAACATTCGTATTCCCCAGAGCTGGTCTCCATGATTTTTTTTGGGCTAAGGGTTCATGCCTGGGTGAAAGCATTCACCCACTACTTCGCATACTAGCTATAGGTAGATGACATCAGATCCAGGTCTGAACTCTGTATTGAGATGCAACCTGTATTTCTCACTGTCTACAGAAGTCCCCATTTAGATGAACAAAATGGAATGTATCACTTTCCACCCCCACCACTCTTAATTTGTTCCCTTATCTCAATTAGTGATAGCACCATCCATCCAGTAGCTCAACTAAAAATTTGGTACATGTTTTCTATTTGTCCTTCCCCCTCACCCTCACTGCTCATGTCTAATAAAAATCTCAAGTCCTAGCAATAGATATTTCTCATTATGGTCCCTCCACTTTACTCCAACTTTGCTCTGAAACTTATCTCCAAACTATTACTTAGCCTTCTAAACAATTTCTCAGGTCACAACGAATCCTCTGTGCTGCTCGAAAAGCAATGACTTGAAAGTATGTTGCAATGGGCTATAAATCAGTGATATTTCACAGTATGAAACTTACTTGCCATCTCTGCACTAAAGGAGTAAACCCTTAGCAAGGGATGAAGGTCCTTCATCTCTGTACTGGCATCTCTCACTCCTCCCACTGTGATCTTCCCATCCAGCCACACAGAAACACCACTTGTGGTTCCCAGTTCCTTTCACTGCACACAACTGTGATTATCATTGCCTTTCTACCGTGCATTCCTTCATGCTGAAGAACCCGATCTGTCTTCTTTGTCTAGCAAATACTCATCCATAATATATCCACCTAATGTGCCAATTTTTGCTCTGAAACCTTTTCAGACCCATCTCCATGCTGAGTTAATCTGACACACTTGCTTCTGAACAAGTAAGCAGATGAAGTTAATACAGAAGTCTATGAGGTCTGAAGACCCAGGCTCAAATTTAAATTCTGTTCTTGTGATACGGCAAGTTAGCTAACTGCTCTGTCTTTCACGTCACCATTTTTAAGATGGGGCTAGTCTTAATACCTACCTAATGGGATTGAAGATACAAATTGAGAGACAGGTATAAAGTGCTTAACATGGCTTCTGTCCATAGTGCTCAGCAACTGTTAGACATTATTATTGTACTTCATATAATACATTGTATTTATTTTTTCCATGTTTTCTCCCCCAACTAAACTATTAGAACAGTTTATTGAAGTGTATCCTCTTATTCAAGTTTACATTCTTGGTGATTAGTGCAGTGTTTGGCACTTCATACACACTAAATAAGTATCCCCTCCAAGTAGATAAGTAAGTCATATGCTGCCAACTCACTGGAAGCATCTGTTTGTTGAGGGCTTAATGCACTTGTTAGAAGAAAAGGAAATACGCAGAGAAAATAGGTAAATAGGTAGGGCACTAGGGAATGAAAACAGACAAATATCAAAATACCAAGAAATAGAGCATATCAAGATGCAAATAACTTAGAATTATTGTTAGTATCTATTATTAGATTTAAACACTCCTTATATTCTGCTGTTGATTATTTCATGATTCCATAGTTTCATTTGGATCTTTTCAATTGAACATGATGATAATATTCATAAAATGCATAATTTTATATACAAACTATATTCTTCCATTGGACATGATTATATTCCTCCCCATGTAGTACAATCAACATAAACATCACATAGTGAGTTTTAAAAAGCACTTGACCTCATCCTCTATCTTGCTTTTATTTTGTAAAAAGAATGTCATATAATACTTCTTATCATAAACATATATAAGATTTTGAAAAAAAACCCCAAATTTTTAGGTCTGGATATGTGAGGGCACACTTGGTATCTGCAATTTGAGTGACAATAAATTTTCAAATAAATAGTTTCTTCTGTAAGTATTCTAGATGAAAATTCTACATAATAAATCAACTTGTCCTGCCCCTTCACCTTCTTTAAGTCTTTGCTCTAATCTCACCTTCTCAGTGAAGTCTACCCCTATTTAATACTGAATCTGAATCCTTCCCAAACAACTGATTCTTCATGGACTTTCTCTTTCTCTTTCTCACTCTCGCCCCTTCCCTTCCTCCCTTTCTCTATCCTCCTCTTCTCTCCTGTATCATTGCTATAGCATCGATCACCATCTAACATATTTCATGACTCATCTATTAAACTTACTTTGTTTTTTGGTATTTCCCAACATCTAGAGCTGTACCTGCCATCCATGCAGCATTAACTCCTCATATTCATACACTGTACTTAGATTGATGTTCCTTTCTTTTAACCAATTGTTATATTTATTTAGGTGTCCTAATTAGTAATTAATACCATATAAAGGAAACATTTTTAATAGACACTTTTGTAAGGAACAGATTCAAATATAATTCTTCTCTTTCAGATTCAGCAGGGCTCTTTTGATGTATTAAGAGCTGCTAATTGAAGTAACAGACATATGTTAAGTAAGCAAATTATTAGATTTGAAATCAGTGTTATCACAGAACAGTCTATTAATCTGCTTTTAGTTGACAGGCATTGTTTAGCTGGAAAATATCATGAAGTAAGTCAGCATTCATATCCTATACATCGTATCATGTTTTAACTTTCAACACATATGTCCAAGTGTTAATTTCTATTTTTTAACACTATGGAGATTTAAGGTAACTACACAAAATGTTTCAATTTCTCTTTATTTACATACATTGGTCTTTTCTACCAAATGAGGAAATTAATGTAGATAATATTTACAAAAATAATCATTAACTTTATTTTTCCAAATTATTATTCAAATGTTCATGTTAAAATCATTTCTCTTACTGAGTATACTATTTAAATATAAAAATAATGTTAGCAAAAGAATCTAACATAGTGCAACCTTAGGTTTAATAATAATTACTATACTGTGAAGCTTTTAAGACATGTATTTAAATTGTTCAATCATATGTGTTAACTTTAAATTTTTCAAAATAGCAATTTCTTCTACACAGTGGTCACAGATCTCATTTCCTCAGGACATTTTGATCTTAGAGATGCCATTCCATTTCAGGAACACGCAAAACAGCATTTTGAAGTCATTACTTTTTAAATTTTAATTTAAGATATTAAAAGAGAATTATGGAATTGACTTCAAAACTAGTCTATAATTAATTTTTTTAAAAAGGTAAGCGACATTTAATTTGCTATCAGTTTTCACATGCCTAGAATTCAGTAAGCATGAAAAATATTTTAAAATGTTTGACAGATAATAAGTAACCAAAAGAACAATGCAATAAGCTTAATCTCTGAACAATGATGAGACATTGTTAAGAAACATTTCTTACATTGTTATGTAAGTTTCATTTTCAGAAAGAAAATTCTCCCTCTGTACAATCTATTTAATAGCACTTGCTGATTAGTAGGCATTACTTACTTCATATGAATTAAACACATCAAACTATACTCACATTTTATTATGATGGAAACACAAAACAAAAAACAGATTCTGAAATCAAGGAGATAATACACTTAGCTTCCATGGGAACATTAACTTATAATTGCTTTGGTTATATTAATTTCCATCCTTGCTTGACTATTATTTCATCAGAATTTTTCCCCTGTATTTAGTATCTTTCCTAAATTGCTTCATTGGGTGCATTAAAATATTTGGGTTGAATTTTAATTAGCTTATTCATTTGTAGTACATCACTAACTGTGATTGTTTAATAGAAAAGATAAAACCTGGAAAATTAAAATGCTTATTATATTAGGATCAGGAAACTTGAAATTGAGAATAGGGATTCATTCAAAACATCCATGAGACTCAGATGGGCAAAGTTTAAGAGGCCAAGCATTCCACAGTAGTTTAGAGGATACTGCTGAGAGAATATCTATCATCTCAAAACCCTCAAGTCCTTATAAATAGCTTTATCAGCATCGCACTAATAAAAACAAGGGCTTAATTACTTCTTTAAACATAATAATGACTACAGTTAAAGTTACTCCCTTAGAACAAATTAATTTTATTTCAA